TTGTGAAGATTAAAGGAATTGATACTTGTAGTATGCATAGATCAGTGTCTGGCCCCGAGTAGGTGCTTAATAAATGCTAGTTATTAGTATTCTGTAAGACATCACCTGGTGTGCCAATAAGACCAGCAAGATGCATGAGAACTAACACCACAGGTGTTCTATATTCTTCTCCTGATGAGAAAATCCAACACATTTACTCTTTGGCTATGAAAAGTGTGTGTTTTGGTTAAAACAAGAAAGAAGATCCATAAAGGGGCTACTAAAATGAAGATGGGAAGAGAGGGGCTTTCATATAAGGAGAGAAAATAGATTGGGCTCTGGTCTGGAAAAATGAAGACTGAGATGCACTATGATGAATTTTATGAAGGACAGGAATGGCATGAATAATAACTTGTTTATGAAATACTGGAAAATTAGAACTGGCATGAAAGACGAATACTTTGAGGTGAATACTTGACCAGATGGTTACTTGACTTGCTTGCACAGTGAGTTGTTCAGTTAGGGAGCTCATTAGCACAGAAGTTTCAAAGCCATCTGGATAAAGGGTATGGGTTGTGGTCCTTTAACTATCAAGGGTCGTTAGGGATGTTTGTGATAGAGCCTAGTTTAGTCCAGTTTAGCATTTGTAAATAACTTACATTAATGTAGTACTTAGCTGTTTCAAAACACTCAGCAACCTTAATTCATTTGATTCCCACAAGAGTGATTTTCTGAGCGTGTCCTGAGGGCAAGGCCCTGCAGGGAGTCAAAAGATGAGAAAGATGGCTCGTATTGGAGGTTCTGATCTGTATTGCCACCCAGAAACACTGTAATTAATTTAATTTAATTTGAGGGCTTAATATATTTGGTTTACTTTGATTTATAGCATTTTGAGAACAGAGAATTGTTAGTTATTTTTTGAGTTCAGGATTGGTATTGTGAAGAAATTAAAGAAATGAAAGTTCTCTTTTTGTTATTGTTTTGTTTTCATAAATTCTACCCACGCGACACTCTTATGTCAATAGAACAACTTATTCTTGTATTTATTTTTATTTTTAGATTAGTTATTCATAAAAGGCCATTTTAGAGCTAGAAGTTAATTTAGAGATCATCTTCTCTTCCTCGTTTCACAGCTGAAGGAGATGGGTCCCTTAGGTGACATGCACAAGGTCGCAAAGCCTGGACTGAAGCCCAAGTTCTAGTCTTCTGTGTTTTCTTTCCCATCAGGCTGCTTCCCCCAGAGGATCAGGGTGATTGTATTTGAGCTTATTTCTGTGTACACACAGACTCAAACGTGTCATGGTTTATCTTGGAGCACCCAGAAGCAGATTTGCTATGAAGCCAGTGAAGCTTAAGCCTCAGGGCCTCTCTCTTGTCTTTGCCTTAAGTGGGGAGAGGGAGCTAGGTTGCAATCAGAAAACATTTCTATATAAGCATTTCTGGTAAATGACCTAAAGCCGTAATGTAAGAGATGGACTTGACTTTCCAAGGTTCCAGTAATTTGTTGTGATCTTTTTCACATTCTAAAAAAAAGTAACTCACTTTTGTACCTGTTTTCTGTTTGTAATTTTGTATTCTTTTTCTTAAAGAAGTACCCTCCCCCTGCTCCAAGATTATGTAAATTTCAGGCTCCATGAACCCTAGATCTGCTTCTGATGCCCAAAGATATGATCAGTTAGGAATCTCATTTTAGTATTTTAGATTTTTATTTTTAAATTAATTTTTATTTAAAAAATTTGAATACATTTATTTTTATATTTTATTTTAATTTTAATTATAGTAATAAAATAGTTAAAGAAAAAGTTGTGTTAAAAATGTTTTAAACGAAAAGGGCAGCTCCTTGCTCGATCCTTCCCCACCCCTCCCACCCCTTAGTTTTACTCTCCAGAGTCAACCACTTTTAATTCCTTTAGATGTTTTCCCCTACGGTTTACCTCTATGGTAGTCCTGTCTTATCCATGGGGAATACGTTCCAAGACCCCTAGTGGATGCCTAAAACTGTGGATAGTACCGAACCCTATGTATATGTTTTTTTCTATACATACATACCTATGATAAAGTTTAATTTATAAATTAGGCACAGTAAGAGATTAACAACAATAACTAATAATAAAAATAGAACAATTATAACAATATACTGTAATAAAAGTTACCATAGACCTTAGCAACCTCAGCATATGTTTTTTTTTCTTTCCTTATTAAGTCAAGAACTTTCATCTTTTCCCTTAAAGAAGCGCTTTATGGCTTCTCTTTGGCATATCTGAATTGCCAGCATCACTACTCTTGTCCTTTGGGCCATTGTTAAGTAAAATAAAGGTTACTTGAAGACAAGCACCGCGATATGGTGACAGTTGATCTGATAACCCAGACAACTACTGAGTGACTAACAGGCAAGTAGTGTATACAGCGTGGATAGGCCGGACGAAGGGATGATTCACGTCCCTGGTTGGACAGAATGGGACAGTATGAGATTTCATCACTCTACTCAGAACAATGTGCCATTTGAAACTTATGAATTGTTTATTTCTGGAATTTTCCATTTAATATTTTTGGACTGCAGTTAACTGCGGGTAACTGAAATCATGGAAAGTGAAACTGTGGATAAGGGGGGACTACTGTATATTGTTTCTTAATAACTTGCTTAATTGATCAGTATTATATCAGTTTACAATGATATAAAGTTTTATATCAATAATACAATAACATTGTGTATTATATCAATTATATATTGACGTGCTGTAATGATAGCTAAGGATTTTACTTTGTTACTGCAAATATCCCTTCTCTCTTCTCCCATCTCCACAAAAATAGTTAAATCACAATTTTTGGTTACCTCAGTCATCACTATTTATATTATGATGACTGTGTAAATATTTACAGCAAAAGCAAGAAGTATCCTATGATATCCTTTCTTGGACAACTTTTTGTTGCACAAGAGCTAATAATTATCTTTTCTTTTGCTTAATTTTCTGTGTTATCTATATGAAACACTGTTTCCTTTCTTTTTATATAGCTTTTTGTTTTTCCTAGAGTTCATAATTGCTTTGTTTTTCCTTTTATATAATTTTCTGTGTATCTAGCCAAATACACCATCAGAACTGCCAAGCATCTATGCTATCAATATTATTTGTGGAAGTGGTCAAACATATCAGATAATCTACCCATCTTCCACCTTCCCCTCTTTTTTTTTTTTGTCTAGAGATCTCCTTCCATAATCCTTCATTCTCCTGCTCCAGTATAGACTGATTTTTTTTTTTTCTAGTGTCTGGAAATTTCATATGATAAGCCTTTGGTGAGGATGTTTGGTGAGGATGACACGCAGTGGATCCTTTCTAAATCCTAGGGAATTGTCTACTCATTCTAAGCAATTTTGTATAAGCAAATTTTGAAAGTGTCTTTTAAGTATCTAGTACCAGGCAAGGACTGCCTTCATTTTCTAGTTGACTAGGTTTACATAGTAGGGTGAAGAGAATGCGCCTAATAATGAATAAGTACCACATCTGGATTCTTGAAATCTGCAGTGTGATTAAAAGTGGGATTTGCTAATATATAATTCAACTTCTATTTTTTGACATGTATATTAACTTTAGGGTGAATTACCTGAATTTTGAATCCCAGATAATTATTAAGAATATATTCCCAGACAATTTCTTGTTACTCTCAAACTCATAATGGCACTTGCTACTATGAAAACTAGTTTTTAATATGTAGAAGTTAAATATAATTTTAAAACACATGATATACTTTTAAAGCATGTTACAGAATTTGTTTTATATGCTATTTTTTGTTGGCTGCATTAGAAGCGTTACACAATAATGAGGAATTAACTATACTAGTTCCAATAACAGCTTTTCTCCCTCCAATACTTTATATATGCAGAATATTTGGTTAATTCTTACTGTGTACTACAAAGTAGGCCAATAGCATTGTTTTACTTTGCTGAAGTAGAAATTAAGGCCACTGCAATTCATGATTAGGTTTTCTTATGGGGACTTTTTGTTCTCAGACATTCATTTTCCTGTAAAGGAGGATTAGTATTTTCCTAGTAATCCACTATGTAAATCAGGGATGGTGCTGATTCTTTAGAGAAGAGAAAATCTTTTTTAGTGTTTCAATATATTTTAATCTCATTCCTTTTTGAGATTGTTGCAATTCAAGTGGTATGCTGTTTAGTTGGATTCTTGTAGAACATAGGTCTACACTTGTGTATGATTTATTTTATTTCCTGAGAACATCACTAGAAGAAAAAAATGTTTTTAAATCCTTAAGATCTTGGTTGAAACACTCAGCTCTGATAACCTTTATAAGCAGAGATTAAATGTGTATGATCAAATCCTCTTCCCAGAATGCACTGCTATTGGAATGCCCCTGGCCTCTGTCTAGACCTGTAGCTTTGAAGCAACTACACATCTCAGGATGCACCACCCCCTCACCTTCCTTTTCTGTCTTCAGTAGTATTGTCCACTGAAAGTTGTGGACAGACATAGAGTGGTGAATCCCCAAGGGCAAGTGTAGTCTGCCCTGTTTGCCTGAGATTTTTTTTTTCCATTTAAGGAATTGGGTGATGATGAGGTCTACACTGAGGAGTGGTGGGAACAGAAACCTACTGGAGATTATGGCAGGATTCCTGGGTGTTTATCAAAGAGGTGGTTGCTTACTTCCCTGCTTGATGTTCCAAGACTTGTAAAATCGAAGGTGCTTTCCTAATATCTCCATTTCAGGTCAAGTTACTTCTATGTGTAGAGTGTTAGTGGTTAATTTGATGCAGTAATTCATTTCCATCAGTGTTGTTGAACTTTTCCCTGGATTTTAGTATGCCTGGTTGATTCTAAACTTATTCTCTAGGGATGCTGTACATTTCCTGTGCAATTTTGGATACTTTAAAATGAATGATTTTGCTATTTGGGTGTTTTGGGTAAGGGGTTTCCTGGCACTTGCATTTCTATTGTATTACTGGAAGCTTACCAAAAATAAATGTGTTTAGTCAATCGACTATAAAAACTTTTGGTTTGTTTTATCAGTTAGATTCAACATCACTTCTCTCTGAGGAACAGTTAAGGTGTCTTCTGGAAGAATGCACATTCAAACAAAAATCCATGACTAGACTTTCTTCAGAAAAAGAAAAGAAAGACATTGAGGATATAACACCTGAGTTCCCCCAGCCTTCCAGATCTATTCTCTCTGAGTTACTAAATGGGTCAGAAACAAAGGTCAAAAGCACTGAGATGGAAGATACAAATATCCCTGAGAATACAGAATGTGAACCGTCTGGAGGCTACTATCTCACCAAAGCCTTGACTGGGCATTACGTGTCACAAGCTCTTGTCACAGAAGCAGAGAATATGAAATGCCTCCAATTTTCCAAGGACAAGGTTATTAGTGACACAGAAGACTATTTTATGTTGAAGACTGTTGGCATTGGGAGACTGAAAAAGCCCTCTTTCTTGGATGAGCCATTGTGTGGTAGCAGTGTAAGCCTTTCATCTGAAGACCAACATCTGAAACTCAGCCCTCCAGAGAAACCAAAAACAGGTAAGGCTTGGAGAATGTTTTGGTGAGTAATTCTTACTAAGCATCTCAATATAAAGATATTATAGTTTAAAGTAGAGTAGGATAAGGAGGTATGTTTGTAAGTCACAGATGGTGTCAAGTAAGAGCATGCAAACGTAAGAACATATTTATCAATGTTCATATGAGATCAAGGTTGAGATTAGTACTCTTATGAAATACATTATTCTTAATGGTAATTAATACATATTCTTGATGGTTATCAAGAAAACAATGTTGATTTCAGAGGAAAAGAGAAATTAGTTTGAATGGATACAAAAATTTGAATAGATTTGCTTGGCATTTCAACTTCCAAACTTCAGTGATGAAAATTTTTTCCAAGGAATGAATTTGTAAAATGCCATATATCATTGTGGTTTCATTGGTTTCTGTGTGCAAACTTCCCAACCCAGCTACTTGTATATTCTCAGGTATTTTGTCTTGATCCAGTATTGCATCTTACAGTGGTAAATGGTACAGGATAAAAATACTATGGGCAGTTTTTGACATAAACAAATATTCAATTATTTGTCTATGTTAGAAGTCTAACATAGTCTGTGTTGTATTTGATGAGGCTATGTAAATAGCTTCAACTTTTCCTCTAATGTAGATTACTCTAAAATATGTTGTCTATTAAATCTGTATCTACTATTACCTATTAAATCTATAGTCTATTAAATCTCAATCTATTGAATCTATAACCTGAACTAATTCCTCAGTCCTGTATTTCTAAATGCCTGCTAGACAACTCCATCTGGATATGGCCTCAAACTGATTTCCTCATCCTTTGCTCTCAACTCAAATTTTCCTCTTGACTTCTGTTTCCTCCATCACCCAGGCTCAAAATCTGAGTCATCATCGAATCTTCTCTCTTCCTTGCTTCCCACTTTCAATCTTCAGATATCATTTGTTCTGCTCCTGCAGTGTCTCCCATGCCCATCCCTTCCTCGCTCTTTCTATTGCTTCAACTGGACCAGTGCGATAACCCTCTGATCCGGCCTCCCTGCCTCTGATCTCTCCCCTCCTCCTGCCGTTGTTGACCACCGCTAAACTAATTCTCCCAGAGGACAGCTTTGATAACCACCCTTCGGAGCTCAAAAAGCTTCTGTGGCTCGCCACTGCCTATTGAATGAAATCTGAATTCTTTCACTTGCTGTTCAAGGCCTCCACAGTCTGACCTGAGTTCTCTTCCTAATCAGTCTCTAACCAGTCCCCTGCATGTTATTCAGGTTATGGCTAATCTGGTCTCAGGATTTCCAGTGCTTTCCTATGCCTCAGCTCTTGCCCAGGACCTTTCCTTCTCAGGAATGTTCAGGTACCCCTTCAATGGTAGTTGAACTCCAATCCCATCCTCTCTGAATGTAACCTGCCCTGGTCCCCTCTTTCAAAATTTTATTTCTCCTCTGAATGTCCAGGTGCTTTGGTCCGCATCTGATCATTTTACATCCACTGTCTCAATGTCGTTGTACACAACCACACCTTCTCTTCCTTAAAATCCTTTTTGAGGACAGAGATCCCATCTTCTGATTCATTGTTACATCTTCTGTGAGGTCCAAAGTGCTGCCTTAAACAAAGTGCCTGTATAATAAGTGAGAGAATTTAAATTTATATCCAGTTGTAGAATAATATATTGAAAATATGGGTCATATTCATTCTTCACCTTATGAATGAAAGCAGGTGGTATTGCTTAAGTATTGTTTAAGCCACACATTCTATATAAAGATTTGGAACTTTTTTCTTTTTTTAGTGAAATTTCACAAGCTATAAAGTTTTTATCCAGCAGCGGAGTTCACTTGCAGCATGCAATTCAATTAGATGAGTGTGGTCTGCCTTCCCTGACCAAGGATCTTATTTAATAAATAAACTAAGGAAACTTTGTTCTACTCTAAAATTTCAGTACATTTGTTTCTTTTTGCACAAAGGGTTTTTATTAGAGAGAAAATATTTGCATCTCTTCTTTGTCTACTCTAATCAAACTTACTAAATTGGATGTGATTTGTTGTATATGGGGTTTCATTCCCATGGAGTCAGTGTGTAGCACTTTGCTAAGATATGACTTTATTTCCATGTGAACATGAGTTGCACTGATGTATATTTGTTGCTGAGTAGAACATGCCAAGATGGAATGATCTAGGACTTAATGTGACTTAATGGAAGCTATGGTGGCTTACCTATAACTTCGTGAAACATGTCTGATGGCACCAGATAATCCTAATGTATGATTATAACAACCCTTGTGAGCATGGAGGATTAAGATGGCATAGAGAGGAATATGTGAACCATACTTTGTTTTTTGTTTATTACGTAATAAACCTTAAGGAATAGGTCCTACATTATCATTTTGAGTACATGTTAACATGTCTGAAGTTGGAGCTTTTCTTTTTATTTTACTAACCTCAGCTTTTACAGTTATTAAAATAATTTGCTAATCAATTTTATTCTAAAATACCAAATTGTACATTATGTGCTTTCTACAAAAGTGAACACCAAAACCGAATACTCAACCAGTTTTCTTGGCAGAAAGCCGTTTAACGATGTAAGTGTAGTGAGGAGTTGCAGTGTGGTCAGCTGTGACAGTATATTCCGGCTCTTTCTCAGGAAACAGATACACATGAATGTGATTAAGAGTAGATTTCTATGAGCAGACAGGAAGGAAATAAGAAAAAACCATTTGTCATTTTCTTTTTCAATAGCAAATATTATTGATATGTAGTTTTGTTTTCCTTGATAAACTGAGGTCTGTTATAAGTATTTCAGTTCTGCTTCTAAAAGACAGATAAAACTTCAAAAAGAGGACTAGACCTAATGACATGGAGGGCCAATTTAAATTGTGGTTTTGAAAAATAAGAATTTGCTTCAGAGCTGTATTAAAAGTTTCCAATGTGAAATACTTCATTTTTCATGTTTGTGCTTTAAGCTTTGTGGTAACTACTGTTATTTGACTTTCTGGATACGAGGTCCAGTAAATTCCGTGTTGTACTCACTCACTGTTTGGATGTTAGGGGATTGTTAAATAATATCTTCTCTTCCCCACCCAGATCAGAACCCATTGAGAGATAGGTGGATTGCAACGAATGGAGATGAAAGAGGTTGGCTTTATTGCTGATGAAATGTAGAGGATTGTTGTGAGCCAGGTAGGCAACCAAACAGTCTTCCTAATGCTGTGGCCCCAAAATAAACTTATGCACCCAGGCACTGGCAGAGGTGGAGAACCTCAAGCCTCACCTGTGGAGCCCTGTCTCTGTGGAACCAATAGTATGGAGGAGCAAAGAAGCACCCTTGTGGGGGGCACTGACTCCCTCAGAGGAAGGGGCTGAGCTGAGCATGCCCTCAACTCACCAGTTAGAAAACCGGCTCTTCTTCCTGTGGGGAGAGTTGAGGGTGTGTAGAGTGAGGCTGGATGCTTCCCTACTGTAAGTTCCTCCACATGGACGTGTGAGGAGAGTGAAGAGTAAGTGTTCCTTGGCACCACTTAACCTTGGAGACACCACTGTGTACACTGGCACTTCAGAAAGAAAACGCTTCAGGTCTGTGGTTGGTCTAGTATTTAATCAGTTTATCTTATGCTGGATTGCTTTCTAGATAAGCAAAGCAAAAAGGCATCTATGCATGTACAGTATTCTCTCTTTCCTGCTAAGCATTTGAGCTACTTATCAACGGAAATTTATATAGTAAAAAGGAAAATATGATTAACAAAAATGGTAGAATAGGGCAAAAAGGGACACAAAGTCAGTCACGTAGTAAAGAAGGGGGACAGAACTATACTAATTCTTCAGGGAAAACAAGGTGGAATTTCCCATAGGACCCATTTAGTGAATAGTGGTCTTAAAAATTTCTATGACAGATGTAACAATGAGTCAGATAAGGTTGTTTTTAAAATAACACCCCTAGGAGCCAGCCTGGTGGCGTAGCGGTTAAGTTTGTGCGCTCCGCTTTGGAGGCCTGGGGTTCGCTGGTTCAGAAGCTATGCACGGCTCATCAAGCCATGCTGAGGCGGTGTCCCACATAGAGCAACTAGAAGGAGGTACAACTACAACATACAACTGGCTACTGGGGCTTTAGGGACTAAAAAAAAAAGGAGGAAGATTGGCAACAGATGTTAGCTCAGGGCCAATCTTAACAAAAAACAAAAAACACCCCTAAATGAAAACTAGGGTGACCAGCTGTCTTGCTTTGTTTGGGAGTGTCCTGGTTTTACCACTGAATGTCTCTTGTCCCGGGAAACCCTCAGTCCCTGACAGACTGGATGGTTGTTCACTCTAAATTCAAACTGAGAACGTAAAACCAAAGAGCAAATTAATTATCCAAAGGAGACAGCTAACAGAGTCCCAGTAAGTAGCAGGATCCCAGGCTAGAGCCTAGAGGAGCAGAGGGATGTGAGGCCCACCCACCAGCATGATTTGGCCTAGTGGTTAGGAGTGTGGGCTCTGAGTAAGGCAGACCTGGGTTTGAATCCCGGCTCTGCTATTAGCAGATGATCTGAGGTAAATTACTTAATCTCTGTCCTGTACAGCTTGGTTTACTTATCTATAAGATAAGATGGCTTTAATTCTTACTCTGTAGGGTTGTAATAAGGATCAAATGAGAAAATCCACATAAAGTGATTATGTCAGAGACTGGGCTTGGTTGGCTTACATTATATTTATCATTTAATCAGGAGATTTCCTATAAAAGCCTGGATTTCTGACTTTTCTGACAAATCAAGAGGTCTTTCCACCAGTAAGGGGAGCTGAGTATAAGATCTTCCCTTTAGAAAGGGCATGTCCTCTCCAGGAGGACAGGGCTCCCTTCTGGCCCCTCTCTACTTCATGTGGTTGGCCATTTGGAGCCATGATTTCCATCCCATGTGACAAACCTCTGCTGCTTAGAGTGTGGTCCAATCACTGGGGGCTAATTAGAACTAAATTAGCAGAGCCTAAGGCCCCACCCCAAACCTACTGAATCAGAATGCACTTTAATAAGATCCCCCGGTGATATTTACAGTGAAGTTTGAGAAGCATTGTTACAAACCACAGAGCATTATTCCTAATCAGGATGAGCCTTGGGGTCATCTGGGGAGTTTTTTGCTTGTTTGTTTTATACCTATGTCCAAAGCCCTAGCCAGACTTAAATGAAATCAGAGTCCCTGGTATGAAGCATTCACTCTGTCAAATTAATATAAGCTACAAGATATTGCTGTGCAAAACTGAGAAATGTGAGTTTCAGTTTAGATGTAAGAAAGCTAATTATGTCATCCTATTGGGGTCCTCGGATAGAACAAGTCCTACTAACAATGACAACTATATAATCTGAATATACTTCATCTTGAAATTCTGCCCATGAAAAGGTCTATTTGATTGTAACTTGCTGGGGAAGCCTGGTTGCAGGTGGATTGACTTTTGGGCAGGATGTTGCAGTGGTTTGAAGCGGGTGTGTGTTGGTATATGTCATTACTCATACCACCTGAACAGTTTCAAAGGCACTAGATTGTTTTGAGAAAGTTTTCTTTGTTGTAATATAGTCTTACTGGTTTGCAGTGGAGCAGTGAGATTCTAAAAATAGTAACACTATTAGCTGATTTTTTTTTCCATTAAAAAATATTTTGGCTTGCTCTCAGGGAAATACTTAACTCATCATTGCTCTGATGGAGTTCTGTTTCTCTTAAACAGTGTGTGCCTTCAGGCCGTCTGGTTATTATTTGTTAAATTACTTTTCCAAGGCTACTAATCGCTTCTCAGATGCTCTTAGTAACTTAATCAACTCCCCTCCAAAGTTTATTTGATCAAAATATCAGAGCTGCTATATTAGAAATGTCCAGTGTTAATTCTTTTTTTACATAAAACTTCGGTATATAGTAAGTTTGTATTTGATGAATTTATCTTTTCAAGTTACGTTCAACTAATTTTCTTTAATCCTGTTCTTCTTGAGGTAGACTTTTCATCTAAATATTTGCCACTGATTATTTTCTCTGTCTACTTATAAAATATTACTTCCTCTATCATTTTTTTTAGTAGTGTAAAGTGAACAATGGCATATTGGAGGGTTTTGATATTTAATTGTAATATACTTGTCACTTTATCAGTCATTGGAAACCTCTGATTCCATTGCTTCGTTCAAATTGGGTAAAAGGAAGAAGGTACTGAAGATCATGACTGTGGACTAGCCCTGTGGACCAGCAGTACTGGCATCACCTGGGAGCTTGTTAGAAATGCAGAGGCCCAGGCCTTGCTCCAGACCTGCTGTGTCAGTCTGCGTTTTAATAAGATGCCCCCAGCAGGTGATCTGTGTGCCTTTCAAGTGTGAGAAACTCTGGACTAGATGGTTTACCAGTTGCTCTACTTTAGGATTGTAAAAAATACTAGCATATATTGTGGTGGTGCAAATAATGTCAGAAAGTATCTTCTTTCCTAACTGCTCAATCCCTGCTTTTTCTTCTTAAATTTCATTTTAATGAAGATACTACCTTCTCCAGATTGTCGTCTTGTCTCTCCAGCCATCCTTACTGTCCTTCTTTTGGGTAACTTTCCCCTTAGCCACTCAGAGCAAGCATGCCCTAGCTTGAGTTCTCTGCTCTTTCATGGTTAATGTTTTATTTGGAGACACATATAGCCAGTATGGCATCATCTATGCTTTGTATACTTTTGATTTTCAGATCTCTCAACTTGGCATCTGCCTCAAGTCTGTCTGGCATTTTAAGCCACATTGAGTCCATCCCTGGGGCAGTGCTTGCAATCTCTGGTTCCACATTAGAATCACCTGGTGAGATTTAAAACAGTTTAATGACATGGTTCCATCCCATGTTAATTAAGTCAATTTCTAGGGATTGGCTCTGGGCATCAGTATTTTTTTTTTTTTTAATAATTTTGTTTATTTATTTTTCCCTCCAAAGCCCCAGTAGATAGTTGTATGTCATAGCTGCACATCCCTCTAGTTGCTGTATGTGGGACGCGGCCTCAGCGGAGCGCACGCACTCAACCGCCAAGCCATGGGGCCGGCCCTGGGCATCAGTATTTTTTGAAGTCAGTTTCTGAGGATGGGGTCTGGATGATTCTGTTGTGCAGCCATGCTTTCAAACCACTGCTCCAGGGCTCCATCTTATTCATTGTGTTCAGACATTAAGGACGTTTTTCCAGAATATAAGGTGAGTAGGACATAAGCACTGTCATTTCGTAGTCTATTGATGGAGGCAGACACTTAAGCAGATAATCACGAAGGGTGGGACAAGTATAATAAGAGCTTTGGGACAAAGTACATGGCAACACTACAGGGGGAACGATGAACACTGGAGAGATGGGGAGGTGGGATTTAAGTTGAGCTTCCAAGGATGAGTGGTCATTTACTGGGTGGGCAAGAAGGAGAACACTCCAGAGTGAAGGAATAGCACTTGTGAAGCATGGGGTCATGGTCCTATCATTCCTCATCTCACATGTGTGATATTGAGGTCCACTTCTCATCCATCCCACCTTCCTCTACATCTTCTTTAATATTTCTTCTCCATGTGTTGATAACGTCACTACATTTCTCACTTTACTCTCTGAAACTCCAAATCATTTGCTCTTAATTAGATTGTTTTTTAAAATAACAGCTTTATTGACATATATTTTATATACCTGTATTAGTTTCCTATGGTTGCCACAACACATTATCACAACAGAAATTTATTATCTCATGGTTCTGGAGGCCTGAAGTCTGAAATGAAGGTGCCAGTAAGGCCACACTCTGTCTTGAGCCTCTAGGGGAGAATGCTTCCTTCGGTCTTCCGGTTTCTCAGGCTGTTGACCTTCTTGGGCTTCCTTGCTTTTTGGTGTCTGTCTTCACAGTCTCACAATCTCTGCCTCTGTCTTCACACTGCCTTTTTCTCTTTCTCTCTCTCTCTGTATGTGTGTGTGTGTCACAAATCTTCCTCTGCTTCTCTCTCATAGATATTTGTGATTGAATATAGCGCCCACCTGGATAATCCAGGCTGCTCTTTTCCTCTCAGTATCCTTAACTTAATTACATCTACACAGACTCTTTTCCCCAGTAAGGTAACTTGCACAGATTCTAGGGATTAGGATGTGGATAACTTTTTTGCAGCCACTGTTCAACAGTACTATACAATTCAATGGTTTTTAGTATATTTACAGAATTGTGCACCCATCACCACTGTCAGTTTTACAACATTTTCCTCACCCCCAAAACAAACACTGTACCCGTTAGCAATCACTCCACTTTTCCCTAACCTCCCTAGCCCTAGGCAATCACTAATCTACTTTCTGTCTCTATTACTTTGCCTAGTCCAGACATTTCTTATAAATGGAATCATTCAATATGTCACCTTTTGTGTCTGGCTTCTTACACTTACAGCATAATGTTTTTGAGGTTCATCCATGTTGTAGCAGTTATCAGTACTCCTTTTTTATTGTTTTAAATATTCTGTTGTATGGATATACCACATTTTCTTTATCCACTTTTCAATTGATGGACATTTGGGTTGTTTCTACTTTTTGGCTGTTGTATATTTAATGCTGCTATGAATGTTGGTGTACAGCGTTTTGGGGGGATGTATGTTTTCATTTCTTTTGGGCATATACCTAGGAGTAGAATTGCTGGGTCTATGGTAACCCTTTGAGGAACTGCCAGACTGCCTTCCAAAGCAGCTGCACCATTTTATACTCCCACCAGTGGTGTATGAGGGTTCCAGTTTCTCCTGATTCCCTTTTGTTATCTTGTTTTAGTTGGTTCTATTGTCAATTCTGTCTTTTCTGATAACCTTCTCACTAAGATTCGAAGAATATTTGCATTTCTGTTAGTGTCACAGATTTTTTCTCACGTTGAAGAAATGAAAGGTGACCAGTTTTTATCTACCCTAAATATGGCATTTACTTTTGGTTTCACCCTACTTGCCAGAAGCTTAGTACAAAGCAAAATAAATAAATAAATAAATAAAAAAGCCTATCTCCAAATCCGTAACCATTTTAGTTCTCAAAACTCAAAAATTTCTCCCTCAACTGTAAGCTTAATGGAGGCTGGCACCTTATCTTTTGCTTTTTCTTGTAAACTTTGCATGCAGCTTGTGGTGACTGTCCAATAAATATTATATGAGAACGTGATTATTGTCTCATATGTAAAAGGATTTAATGTTTTATAGGCTGAATGATTTTTCTTAATTATGCACACATTTCTGATTGCCTAACAACTTTGGTTATTGTTTTTAATGTGCAGATGAACAGAAGACTGAGGATGTGACAGAGGAATGTAGAGAATCTTAAGCAAAGACTTGCTGGAGTGCGCTTTTAAGAAAGTCGGTAAATTAAGAAAGTTGGTAAAAAGTTAGATGTTTTCCAAATTCTTCGAGTTCAATGAATGCATTATAGAGATCATTCCTCAAATAATGATTTTAAAATTTGGATTCTCTCTTTCTGAATTACACTTCCTTGGTATTTTTGAGACTTCTGGTATAAGGGTTCAATGGTTTTTCTTCATTGAAATTCCTGGGGAAATTGTTTTTTATGACTAATCTTGCAACATCAGGGATACATTATGGAAAGCAACATTTTATGTATGTGTGCTGGGTTAAAACTAATTGAAGTGCTACGATTGTTTTGTATTTGATTTTCTATGTTACAACTTCATTGTGATTCAGACAGATTTAATCACTATGAATTTTTGTTTGGCCCTGTTTTCCTTCTTTCCTTCTTTCTAATGCTTGTTAAGGAAGTACAACTGCCATAGAAAGCAATGAATTTTCTCAACAAAGCGATGTTAGGATAGCCTTTACTATCTTATTAGCAAAGATACTTGTCTTAAGCAGGAATTTGACTGAATTATTTGATATATTACTTTCAGTTTGTTATCTTCTTTTGGAGTTTGCCTTTTAGAATGCAGCAAATAAAGATCAGCTACTTAAAAGTCTGCAGTACTATTTTAAGAGAGAGAGTTTGTTTAGTTACAAGTTAGTAACCTGGATTCATGAGAAAATTTTATGTCAACACTCCATACGATGAATTGGCATTAGAACTAGAAGTTCAATTTATTTCTGATTCAAAAAAAATGAACTGGCTGCTGTGCTGCCTTTAGTGAAATTTGGAGTAATGTATATGTAGCATTATTATTTTTTGCTCACACATTTTCATTTACTGATATTGAATAATGTTAGTGATTGCTTACATCAAATTTCCTTGACTTTTTTTTTTAATTTTTTTGTTTATTGCAGTAACATTGGTTTATAACATTGTAAAAATTTCAGGTGTACATCATTAATACTTCTATTTCTGCATAGATTACATCATGTTCACCACCAAAATACTAATTACAACCCATCACCACGCACATGTACCAAATTATCCCTTTCACCCTC